TTGACGGTTCCTACCCCCCGATAAACCCCCCCACACCGCCCCGACCCGAACGCACCCCCCACTCCCTTCAATTGCACCCCACAAGTTGATTTTGACTTTGGAGTCAAAATTTGACTCCAAAGTCAAAATCAACTTGTGGGGTGCAATTGAAGGGGGTGGGGGGGTGCGTTCGAGTCGGGGCGGGGTGGGGGGGTTTACCGGAGGGTTAGGGGGTAGGAACCGTCAATTTTACGAACGGGGCACCGGAGCGCCCCCGGGTCATCCTATGACATTGGTTTCCAATGTCATGGGAACCTTGCCCATTTATATGTGTAGATTAGCTATCATTATTACTCTAGTTGTCATTATACAATTGAATCTGACAATCTGTTCTCGATTTTGGTATCGTTCAACAACACATGGGTCTCATTTATGAGTTTTCCTTTATTTTGTCAATAGATTACCTGAATGCAGTTTGCCTATAATCCAGGCTACAAGCTTAAACTCAGGCAAAAGTGATATTTTAAATAGTTATTTCGAAGACAATTATTTTGAGCCAGTGATACTTCAATGAAGTATCACTCTTCTAATCCAACCCCGGCGAGTGACATAGATCATTGACTTAGTCAACTTTGAGTTTATACATCAATGAGTTTTTAACAAAATTAATATTTTTTACTAGAATAATTTGAAATTAACATTTTAGTTTTGTTATTTTTAGCATTATTCTATATTACCAAGTGTTATTTTTTTAACAAACTGTTAATTAAGTAGTAGTAAAAATGCTAGAACAAATTGTTATGTGTCATCTTTCAAGTTCCAACCTCTCAACGCTTTCATCTCATGTCATTTACACATTTACCCTTACTTTTAATTCTATCAATCTATCCAAATGGAACCAAAAGAGTAATTGGTTGTATCACTGTGTGTGGCTTCTTTCGTTGGCTCTACCCCTACATAATTTCACATGTCATCTACTTATTAAAGTTGAAGAGTTACATAACACAGAGTATATTTTAGTACGGAGTACTATTTGTTGTAAATTCACATTAAACTTCAAACTCGATTTAAAATTTAGTATTCACAAAAAAAATTGATTTCTAAATCTTATTCTTTAAACTTCAAACTTCAATTTTTAATCAAAAGCTATACGAGATTCAGGTTTCATATTTAAAATTTGAATTTATTTACTTTCAGATAGAGAGTGTCAAAAATTGTATTGAATATTTAAAAAAAGATGAGCTCCATCCCCAGGCTGAATTGTATATCTAGTATAGTAGTGTAGTGTCCCAATGAATTGTAAACTACTCTCACTGTACTAGAATAATCTTCTCAATCAATATTTAGATAGTCAAATTTTTGAATTTTTCATTCAAATCCCGTAAATGGAACGAAGAAGAAGATTATTTTAGGACACTACAAAATTTAAAGTCCTCCAATTGCAAATGTCCAATTCATCAATTTGTAAAGCACATGAAGCCACTGTGGATCACACACCACTTTGGTACTCTTTGATTGGATCCCAAATCACACACACAATCTATGCTGATTTGAAATGAAGAAAAACAAAATGAATCAGAAAGCACACGAGATTTACGTGGTAACGTCCCAATTATAGGTCACCTCCACGGCAATGGCGATGGCCTTTTGAGCAATTGCAATCACCAAAAACAATTTTGGACTTTATGTTAATTGTCCAAGATAGAACAAACATTACAATTGTCTAAAAAGTGTGAACCCACTTTATTAAATGATGGGTTTTCGTATGATACGCTCTTTCTGTCTCACAATAAATTACACGAATTTTTGAATATTTTTTATATAATATTAAGAAATAAAAATTACACACGAGCATCAGAAGATTGCGTCAAAATTTCTAAATATTTACAGTTTGGCCAAAAATAGGAGAACTTGGAAACTAATTTCATAGGGAGTACTCCGCATTAAGTACAACGAATTGAAATTGTGACATTATAAACATGCCGCAATATGCTTATGCTTAAATAATGTTACAAATACAATACTTTGTAATATACAATGTCAATCCTAAGGATACGATATGAGTCTTGACCCTAACAAATTAAATTATATAAATTATTTTTAAGAAAACAATTAATATTACAGTGGTGTACACAAGAAAGTTGTATTACAAATGTTGGGCCCCTGAAAAAATAGGTCTAGACCGATGGGGTACCTTAGCCCTCCTTTGGGCCGGCCATGATAATTTATATTTTTGCTAATATTTTTATTTTATGAATCTTTTTTTAATCAAAATGCATACCTTATTAGCTTAATCATTGAAATTTAACATCTTATACAGTACTCCGTAATAAAAACGCGCAAAATCCTGACAAGACAAGGGGGCTTTATCTCTTTTTTTAACATTATTAAAAAACAATTTAGAATTTAATTTTACGTCGGAAAAAATACTAATGATTAATTTTAGCCGCTCAAATTTAGAGGTCCTATGTGTAATACTAAAAAAACATCTAATTAAGGTCAAACTCTCAAGTGCAATTGCTTGGTGGACCGAGTGGCAGCGTATTTTGGGCTATGTTGGGACGGAGTGGTTATGTGTCTTGGGCTGGGCTGCATCTCAATCGAAAAATACTATGCAATTGGGCTATTCAATTGTAACCCAACTTTTCTGTTTGAACATTGGAGTGAAATGTGTTTTCAGACGGGTAATAAGCTAACAGCCGGACGCTAGGCGGGCTTAGAGAGTGTTTGGGCCAAATTGTAAGTATTATAAATTGTTATTTTTAAGCCAGGCTCAATCGTCTAAAACAGGCTCCATATTTTGTCCAAGGCGTCTACATTCAAAAAGGTCCAAACTAGAAATCTAGGCTAGTGGGTGAGTGTTACATAGTTGGCTACATAAGGGTTTTCAGAAAAGAATATTTGAGCTTAATTCATAGCAATTATTCATCTGCAACTATCAAGTACAAGTTTCATCTATTGTCATCAATATATGATTAAAATTCAATTTACATCTTCTCAGGTTATTGTCCAATCCGTTTTGAGATACCTTCAAGGAAAAAATTCATCTTTTTAAAACTTAGGCAACATTCAAAATCACTAAGTTGCCCTAATGGTGGTTTAAAAAATTAGAATAAAGTATACGAGAATTGTATTATATTTTAAATTATACTGATTTAAAAGTATAATTTGCATGATCATAACAAACATGCATACGTTTTTTTACAATATATATAAGTTAAATTATTTTATTGGAAAACGGAGTTTGATACTCCCTCCATCCTTTTTGGGGAAATTTTTCATTTCAAAATATTGATACGGAATAATTTATAATCATAACTCTCTGTAAATTTTCTAATTCTTGACTCACACTCATCCCACCCTCGTCAATTGAACTGCCTAAATTTAGTTGACTTTCTAGGCAATTCTTTGACGTGAATGAAGTTGATTCGGGTCGTATCTCAATTGAGAATTTGCTTGGGAGGGGGGCAATATGAAGAATTATTTTTTTGAACGGAGTATCAACCACTAATTTGTACTTCGTCCATCCAAAAATGATCTTTTTATTTGTTTTTTTGTCAAAGATTGTAAAATTTTATCTCAATATATGGAAATATATATTGTGTTTTGATATTAGATTAATATTAAAAGTTTACTTACGAATCGTAATTTTGAAATACTAAATTATCATAAAATTCAACTACGTATAAATTTAGATATTATTGATTAAAGTATTACATTAGAGATCGTATAAAATCAAAGTAAAATTATCTAAAGTAATCTCAACTTTATTTGGCCTTTCAAAAGCAATCTCACATTCAATGTGATGCATAATAATCTCAATTTTATTAAAATTTATGAGTTTTGGGTCGCTACTGAGTTGCTAACAGTGGGTTAACGGAAACAACCTATTTTGCACAACAAATAAAAGTTGAGATGATTTTGATGAATTTTCATATTTTTAAATATCTTTTAATTTTCATTTAATTTTTAAAATGAATTTATATCTCCTAAATTTATTTTTTAATATTAGTATTTATTTATATAAAAAATAAAAAAATGAGAAAAATAACTAAAACTATACAAAATTAATGAAATAAATAAGCTAATCAATAGAAACTAGCTTGAAAACTGATATGAAATAAAAAAAATATACGGAGTGGTGGATTTTGACATTTTACGTAATATACAGAGTTTTAATGTAACATTTCTTCTTATTTGTTAGGAAAATTTACCTAAAATAATTCCTACTTTACCTGTTTTTCAAAAAATAAGTAGAAATAGTACGTTAATACTCTGTACAATATAATGTCTAAAATATTACGGGGTAGAACCTGCCACTCCTTATATTTTTACTTTGTTTCTTACCACTTTCAGTTTATTTTTTATTGATTACCATATTTATTTCATTAATTTTGTATGTTTTTAGTTATTATTCTTTTTTTCATTATTTTTAAGTCTTTTTTTATTTTTTTCTAAGGTAAGACAATAAAAAAAGAGATAGAAGTAGAACATCATTTTAAAAATTGAAATACAAATTTTAAAAAATTTTAAAAATGTAAAAAATAATTCCAACTTTTAATTTGTTATCCAAAACTAGTACATTTAAGTAAAATTAGAATTATTATACATTACAATTAATAATGATATTATTTTTTAAACTTCAGATAAATTTAAAATTATTCTAGATAATTTGTTTAAAAATCAAATGAAAAAAATATACCCCATCCGTCCTATAAAGTGTTACCCATTTTGACTAAAGTTGAAATTAAGGGAGGGATAATTTTGTGTTGACTTTCCAAAAATATCCTTGATGTGATGAGTAAAAATAGGATGTGATGTGTAGATTATTAAGAAAAAGATATGATGTGATATGTAGAGTTTGAAATTGTGGTTTTTTAATAGAAATGAATAAGAAATTGTGGGACACAATTTTTTTGAAACGTGTAAATCTTTTTTGAGACTGATGGAGTATTTGTATTTCTTTTTTCATACTCATCCGTGATCTCACAAGTCACAAGCTCACAATACACTGCAATAAAGACGGCAAGGCAAACCTACCCTTATCTTATACCCGTCCCAACCCCTCGCAACCGGTCCGCGCCTCAGCCCTAAAAATCGGCCGCCGCCGAGCCAAATGAACCCCGATGCCGTTCTCCGGCTGTCGCTTTGCTGGGCAGCGGCCGCCGTTTTGTTCACAGGGATATACACCCACTTCTCTTTCAAGAAAATGGCCGCCACTTACATCTTCGGGATGTTCGCCGTCGGCGGTTTGATCTTGCCGGACTGGGAGTTCTTCGACCGTTCCGTCTCCGAATGGTTCTCCCCCGTCACCTCCTCCTCCCACGAATCCTCGACGGCCAAACAGGCCGCTCCGTCCAGGTCAGTCGTGCACCATTAATTATTACTTCTGCAGTTCTGGTTAAATTAATTAGCCATACATCTTTTCCTGAACAATTGCAATAAACTGGCCGGCGGCAGGTTTAGGATGTATCCGGCGAGAGTCGCTCTTTACACTGTCGTGTACGGCGTTGCTTTCTACAAGTGGTGGGTCTTCGTATTCTCCTCCTAATAAACCTGAATTTCTTTAGATCCACCATGTGTTAGTTCTTAAGGACCTACTGTAATTTGGAACAATGTCTATGTTTCCCTAATCAATGTGTATACATTATCATTTCATCCAAAATTTAAAAAAATATGAAATTTACACTAAATAGTAGTAAAACATACTCTCTTCGTCCCAGAAAACATGAAAGTTTTGATTTTGAAGAGAGATTTAAAGGGAGTGTATTTTGGTATTGAATTTCCTAAAATGTTCTTTGATGTGATGGGTAAAAGTATGATTTGATGGATAGATTATTAGTAAAAAGGTATGATGTGATAGGTATGGTATGAAAAAGTAAGGGGTAAAAATGATTTTTTAATAGAAATGAGAAGTGTTTTTTAGTACGGATGAAAAAAAGAAAGGAGAAAGGTTTTTAGGGATGAAGGAGGTATCATTTTTCAATGTAGTACTTAAATTTTTTATTGTTTTAAATAGTACTTGAATAATATCTAATAGCAAGAACAATATCCAGTGATGATGATGACTATTTAGTTTCAAGAATGTTTACTCGCGCTGGACATATTGAATAGTTTGATATAATGCCGCGATTGCTATGAATGATTTATGTTACTTGGACCGCACGGTTGATTAAACCGTAGTGGCCGAATTTCAATTCCTTTGGGATTCTTCTTTGATTGCTTTCCTTATTTGTTTCTGATTTCGTTTCCTAGTAGAACTCATATTTTGTTTCCTAGCTGGATTGATATGTTTCTTTTCTCATCCTATAAATAAAGGAGGATGTCTTTGTTTTTACTAGAACAATTGAATATATAGAAATATTTTCTCTCATACTAATTTCTACATGGTATCGGAGCAAATCTCTAAGACATTGCTGTGAATAAGCCTCGTTGACAAAATCTTTGCCGACGACGTATCCATGGTCAAAAAAGGAGACAAAAACCCATTTTCCAAAACTGTCGGATCCGATGGTTTGGGAGGAGAAAACGACAAACCATTCATGAAGATTATGAACTCAGATTTGCAGACACCCCGACACTAGTTATCACCCAAAAAAAGCTAACTGGTAATAACTACGAAGAATGGGCACGAGCAGTAAGAATAGCTCCACGTGCCAAAAGAAAATTTGGATTCGTTGACGGATCCATTCCTTAACCAGAAGAGGACGAAGAAGAATTTGAAGAATGGCGGATCGTAAATGTTATGCTCGTCTCGTGGATCTTTAATACTATTGACAGATCGATTTGGAATTCTATCACACAAGTCAAGGAGGCAGTGGTATTATGGAGAGACATAAAAGATCGCTTCTGTGTAGCGAATGGACCGCGGATCAATCAACTCAAGAAAGAGTTGGCTAACTGCAACTCTGTAAGCAGAATGGACAACCAATTGTCTCATATTTTTCAAAACTGAAAAATATATGAGACGAACTCGACACCATTGAGAAAACACCCACATGTAAATGTCATGGTGGTAAGTGTGACGTTACTAAACAAATCGAGCAGCAGAACTTTCATCAGTTTTTGATGGGCCTTGATAATGAAGGCTATGGAAGTTTGAGATTCAATATCTTGGCCGTAGAACCATTGGCTCCCCTCAATCGTGTGTACTCAACAATTGTCTCACAGGAAGGGATTTTGAAGATCACACAAGAAGAAGATAGAAACCCGGTCGGTTTCGCGGTGAACTTCAAAAGTTGACCGTGAAGCTAACGAAGAAACAAAATGTAAACACTGCAGAATGACAAGACATGAGATTAGTGGGTTCTTCCAACTTATTGGTTACCCAGAATGATGTGAAGACAAACTTAGAGATCAAAATAGCAGACGAGAGGGAGGCCGCAGTGGGCAGATGCGCGGTGGGCGGCCACTGGCAAGAGGAGGTACCGGCGGACAAGGTGGCGAAACACTGGAGGACCAACGGCCTTGACAACGAAAGGAGGTGAAAGCAGCAGCAAAGAACCATTCACTCCTGATCAATGGAAAGCACTCTTGGGAATGTTGAAAGACAAGGAAACACGGACTGATAATAAATTTTCAGGTAATACTGATACTTCTTGAATCATAGATAGTGGAGCAAGCCAACATATGATACGAGATGAAAGAAGCTTGTTGAATAATGAACAAATCAAATCGGCCAATCAAAAAGGGAGTGTGCGATTGACTAATTCAATCGTGTTAAATAATGTTCTACTTGTTCCTCAACTTAACTGCAATCTTATATTCGTCTCTCAACTTCTTTGGGATAAAAATTTAATTGTCCAATTTATGAACAAAATTTGTTTGATACATGACTCTACCTCGAGGACGATGTTGGAATGAGTAGAGAACTTGGAGGATTGTACTACTCAGAGTGTGATGTGACCAACAAAGTCTGCACAGTCATGGAGGTGGATGATGTGATCACATGGCACAAGAGATTAAGGGGGTGTTTGTTTTTCTGCCAGAAGACCTTCTGGCGTCTTTTGTCTACGCCGCGCAGACGATGGACTCTGCAGATTGTTTGTTTTTTGGAAGACATTTCACTCAAAAAGGTCTTCCTGGTATCTTCTTGGAGAAGACATTAACCAATGTCTTCTAACATCTTCTAACATCTTCTCCTTTTTTTTCTACTTCTCTTCACCACCACAACCGTCCACCGCCACCGTCCACCACTACCACCGTCCACCATCACCGTCACCATCCATCACCATCGTCGTCCACCGCCACCGCCACCATCTACTGCCACCACCACCGTCCACCACCACCTCCGTCAACGTCCACCACCACCCTCCACCACCACCACAATCGTCCATACACCACCACCATACACTACCACCATTAATTTATATAGCAGTCTACAGACATTAAAAAAACAAACAGTCTTCTTCTTGCAGACCGCAGACCTTCGGTCCACCACTTCTCCTGCAGATGTCTACAGTAGTGGTCCGCAGACCGCAGACCTTTTACTGCAGAAA